CTGCCTCTGCCTCCCGAGTGCTGGGATTATAGGTGTGCACCACCACCGCCCAGCTCGATTTTTTTTTTAAAAACGTTTTACAGGCTATCAGAAAAGAAATGCTAACTGGAGTTTTATTTGTTGTTATTAAAACTCTTATTAAGTAGAGAAAAAAGACATCTTTTAAAATATAATCCTTCCCATATGAGACTATGTCTTAATTTATTTGTATGCTCTAATCAGTGGTTAAAAAATTTAAGTCAGGAAAAGTGTAAGCTATAGTTAGGTGTTTTCCACACGGGTTGAAGTCTTTATTAGACCTGTTTTCAGTATGTAGGAACATGCACATCATCTATTATACTCAACTTTGCATTCAGAGGTACAGGTTCTCTTTTGTGTGCAGTAATCTCCTGTTATTTTAGTAGTAAAGTAGAAAAGTTATTAAAAGTTACTAAGACGTCCACTTTGTTTTTACTTTTCTAGTCTTAATAGAAACCCGTGAATTGGCCGGGCGGTGGTGGTGCACACCTTTAATACCAGCACTTGGGAGGCAGAGGCAGGCGGATCTCTATGAGTTCGAGGCTGGGCTGGACCGACAGCCTCCAAAACAATACAGAGAAACCCTGTCTCGTAAAAACCAAAAAAAAAAAAAAAAAAAAAAAAAAAAGAAACCCATGAATTGCCTTCTGACTCTGTTTTCTCCCACCTCTCTTTCATGGTTTACGTTGTGGCTCGATATTAATTCGTAGCGTTGGTAGAAAGCAGTAGTTCCTATTTTGCCTTTGTTTGAAAATTAGCTAGGTTATTTTTTTCCTTTTCACTCTCCATTAAATCTGTCAGTAGTTCTTGGAATAGAATACCTGTTGTCAAGTTAAAATAGCAACTTTTTAAAAAGTCTCCATTTTTCTTTGTCTTTTTTTTTCCATCAGACCTCTGATAAGTGCAGGCTATAGCCAACTTCACAGCGAACAGTAGGACAGAGGAGCAGTTCTAAACATGTGAGAAAGTATTGTCTGTCATTTCTTTACCTTTCATCTCATTAAATTGCTCATTTATTCAGCGAGTCAATGCGTTAAGGCTTAGATTGGCAGAGAGGAGAGAAACAAGCATTTGACTGATGAGACATACACACACACACACAGGCGCACACACATGCACACGCGGACACACACACACATACAATACACACACACCAGTCTTTGCTAGTTTTTTTTGTTGTTATTTTTTGTTTTTTGGTTTTTTGTTGTTGTTGTTGTTTGTTTGTTTGTTTGCTTTGGAGGCTGTCCTGGGACTCGCTCTGTAGACCAGGCTGGCCTTGAACTCACAGAGATCTGCCTGTCTCTGCCTCCCAAGTGCTGGGATTAAAGGCGTGCGCCACCACCGCCCGGCGTCTTTGCTGTTTTGCTGGCCGTCAATACAATGACAACAAAGTCGGCGCTCACAATTCAGAAGTGACTCCTGTCAGCTACGGTCCAGATCACTTCATCCCTGCCTCCTTTCTTGCCCATCCTCACTCCACATCCTCTGTGTCCAGGTCTAGTTCTCTCTTCTTTAGCTACGCATCAAGACTGGCAGTTTGGATATACTCCCACCCCCATAAGCTCATAGGCAGTGGCTCTGTAGGAGCTGAGGCTCTGCTGGAGCGGGTGTTAGTTCCCACTGTGGCGTCCAGTCTGCCTCCACCCCTGACCTGGTTACATCATCCCCTTCCACAGTTCCTTTCCACCTTCATATATGTGACGTGCACACCCCTTCAGAGTGCCGGTCTGACAGTCCCCTCTCTTCCTTCTCTTGCTTTTGCTCCTCCCTTGTCTGTCCTATCTATCCATCCGTCTGTCTGTCTGCATGCCTCTCTCATGTCCGCACTCCTACACGGCCTTTCATCCTTTCACGGGCACCCCCCCCAATAGACCGCTTGCACTGACTCTGCTGCACATGGCGTGTTCTCTTAGGGGCACACCCTGGCGGGACCCGCTGAGGGCAGCCCCAGCCCCTCTCGCTGTGCATCTATACATTCAGTAGGTATGACGCACGAGGAAGAATGAAAGCTCCTAGAGGAGCTAGACACTGGTAAGAGAGGCATTTTAACTAGGTATAAAAGACCAACCAACAGGGACACTTCTAGAGGAAGATCTAACCACTTGAGGAAAGCCAGAGTTTGCTTTTGCAGAGGAAAAATATTAAGCTGAGATTAACGTGTTAACGAAGCAAATACACAAATGGAAAGTGTCAGAGTAAATACAACAACCGGGGTGCACACTCCCCGGTAGAGACGAGTTTATACAACAACCGGGGTGCACACTCCCCAGTAGAGATGAGTTTATACAACAACTGCGTGCACACTCCCCAGTAGAGACAAGTTTATATAACAACCGGGGTGCATACTCCCCAGTAGAGACGAGTTTATACAACAACCGGGGTGCATACTCCCCAGTAGAGACGAGTTTATACAACAACCGGGGTGCACACTCCCCGGTAGAGAGGAGTTTATACAACAACCGGGGTGCACACTCCCCGGTAGAGAGGAGTTTATACAACAACCGGGGTGCACACTCCCCAGTAGAGACGAGTTTATACAACAACTGCGTGCACACTCCCCAGTAGAGACGAGTTTATACAACAACCGGGGTGCACACTCCCCAGTAGAGACGAGTTTATACAACAACCGGGGTGCACACTCCCCAGTAGAGACGAGTTTATACAACAACCGGGGTGCACACTCCCCGGTAGAGAGGAGTTTATACAACAACCGGGGTGCACACTCCCCGGTAGAGAGGAGTTTATACAACAACCGGGGTGCACACTCCCCAGTAGAGACAAGTTTATACAACAACCGGGGTGCACACTCCCCAGTAGAGACGAGTTTATACAACAACCGGGGTGCACACTCCCCAGTAGAGAGGAGTTTATACAACAACCGTGTGCACACTCCCCGGTAGAGAGGAGTTTATACAACAACCGCGTGCACACTCCCCGGTAGAGAGGAATTTAACTTCTGTGTGGCTCGGAAGGTGCCTCCTGCCCTCAGGACTTTGAGGGTCTGGGATGAGTTTGGATGTGTTTCCTATGAGTCTAGAAAGCTTCAGAGCTGGAGAGGATCACAGCAGCTCCAATAAGGAGAGTGGGTGTGGATAGAGCATCCAGCACACTGCTGCCACAACCGTCCAGACAATTGTAGCTTAGACCAGAGTGTTAAACGTAGAGGTGATGGAGAACGGCGAGAATCAAGAAGAACACAGCTGTTGTGCCCAAGTTGCAAAGTCCCCAGAGACCACCAGGAAGACAGACCCACCAAACTGCAAAAGCAAGGTTTAACGATTGTTTATCCACCCATGACAAGGATCCCATCTAGCAAGCTGACACAGCAGCCTCCAGAGGGAGTGAAGTTCCTGTCTACTGCTAGGTTTTAAAGACAAAAGTTACAGGGGTACAGCAGTAGGTACGGGTTGGTTTCTGATTGGTTGACATTTGGGACCAATTATTTTCATTGGTCAGTGCTGAGAAGGAACATTCTGTGGTTTCTGTGGCATTGTCACTTGCAGGTGGCCTGTTGTACATAGATACCAATAGTTTTTAGAACTGTATCCTGGAGATTACAGAGAAATGTTTTTGGTCCCCCCTAGAGTCTAGGAGGTTGGTGGGGGGGGGGGAGTCTGGAGTTTCTTTGTGTTCAGTTTTGGCCCTAGACTCCAGGAGGCCACAGGATCTGGAGTTTCCTTGTGTCAGAGGCCTTGTGTCTTTTCTGTAGCCTGTCATGGCTACTAAAGCAGGGGGCTGAGTGAGGGTCTGGTCCCTTTATTTCTAAATTATTAGAAGTGAAGCCTTTGGAATAAGAGAGAGGCCAATTCCAGGAGAGCACACATTCATACACCCATGTGTAATTGTGTATGTGTGTGGGTGCCCGGTGAGAGGTACCCATGCACATGTATGTACGTGTATATAGAGACCAGACGAAAACCGCAGGTGTCATTCCCCAGGAGCCACCGCAGGTATTCATTTATCTATTTATTCTTTATCAATAAAATCTTGTGAGTCAGACATCGCCGTAAGAACCTGAATGATCACAGAAGCAGCAGAGAAGTGACCAGTGACCTCCGTCTCTATTCTCCAGCCAAAGGGGCTGAAACCCTGTCTAAGCCCTCCCTACTACTTCCTGACTCTCTCTCTCTCCCTCTCTCTGTCCTCAGTCCTCCAAATCTTCTATGGTTAATTTTGCTCAGTAGTTAACTCTGTCTCCTGATTCAAAGCAAACTTTATTATCAGAATGGGATCAAAACATCACACAACAACTTGTTTCTGTGAGACAGGTTCCCTCATTGGCTTGGAGTTCAACAATTTAGCTAGGGTGACTGGCCAGTGAGCCCCCAGAAACCTGTCTGCCTCTGCCTCCCCAGCATTTGGAATGCAAGCATACCAACACACCTGGCGTGTTGTGTAGGTTCTGAGGACTACACTCAGGTCAAGAGAAGATGTCTTTCGGATATCTGCCCCGTCCAAATGCATATCACATACCGTCATTCTTTCAAATACTGAGGTCACAGAAAGTGGAAGGCAAATGCTCATACAGCTATCAAAAATATGTTTGTGACTACCGAATAAACATTACAAAGTAATGTGTGGAAGGGACGAGTTTAATCGGGACCAATCACAGTCTCCGGGATTTTCCAATGTGCTTCTTATGGTGGTGTTTAACTGCCTCCAGCAAATCTGCTTGCTATACCCATCAGAATCCAAGTATTCAGCTACAGGTTGTCCTCTCCGACAGCTGAAACATTTCTTTGAGCAGGATTAAATTCAATAAAAGGGAATTGTATGCATCTAGTAAAATGAGAATCGGAAGAAATCAGTAAAGCAGGCTTGGGCACCAGTACTTCGCATTATTGCTCAGTCTTTGATACTGAATCACCTTGGCTTCCATTGTGGCCTGGCCTGAAATGCTTTTCTCCCATCTTTTCGATGAACCGCTGAACAGTGGTCTGGGGTTCTGCTGTAGCCCGTGTCCCCCCCCCCGTGGCCTTCTA